TATTGGATAGAATGACTTTATTGAACCAAGTCAAAGCAGTTACAGCTCTCCATGTATTTTGTACCGAAATCAAATGGAACATATAAGAATGTGTACAGATTACCGTAAAGTGAAACTCTGTAACAAAAACTGATTCATTTCCTATACAAGAATTGATGACTGTATTGACAAAATTGGAAAAGCAAAGTATGTTGACAAAGTTTGATCTTCTAAAAGGATTCTGCAAGTTCCACTTACTGATAGAGCTAAAGAAATATCAGCCTTGTAACACCAGACGGCTTATATCAATATAAAGTCATGCCATTTGTATGAGAAAAACTCACCAGCAACTTTTCAGAGGCTTATAAACATGGTAATATCTGGTCTACACGGATTGACGCATACATTGATGACGCAATCATCTACTCTGATGAATGGGAGGAACATCTCACAACTATAAGGACATTCTTCTCGACCGACTTAGTGATCGCTAAATTGACAGTTAATCTTGCAAAAAGTGAATTTTGTCATGCAATTTTAAACATTTTTAGACATTGAGTGGGACAGGGTACAAGTAAAACCAATAGAAGCTAAGGTCAAAGCTATCTCTGAATTTTCTGTGCCAACTTGTAAAAGACAACTGATGCGATTCTTGGTATGGCAGGGTATATCGTAAATTTTTGTAATAATTTTTCGGTTATTGCAGAACCATTGACAAATTTGTTTAAAGAAGAAGAAACAAATTCATTTGAATGACAAGTGTCAAATGGCATTTGACAGCCTTAAAGCCATACTTAAGAGTGCACCAGTTTCTCTTGAGGGCACAGATTTTAATAAAAACTTTAAGTTAGCTGTAGATGCTAGTGACATAAGGTGCTGGAAGTGTATTGATCCAAGAAGACAACAAATGGTGTTTGACCATACCTGTGTGTTAGCTTTTCTAAAAAGTTAATGAACATCAGAAAAATTACTCTACTATAGAGAAAGAGTGCCTTGCTCTTATTCTTGCTATTCAGCATTTGAAGTTTATCTAACTTCTTCATAGTTGCCTGTATGTTGTCTCTTTAGTGATCACAATCCCCTCACTTTCTTGCATAAACTTAAAAACAAAAATCAAAGGTTGTTTGAGGTGGAGTTTGTTTTTTGCAAGAATATAGTCTTGACATTAGACACATTAAGGGAAGATAATATTGATCCCTGATGCACTTTCTCGTGTCTAAAACTGATATTTTCAGTATTTACATTAACATCATTACATCATATGATTGTTTATTTTTATATTATTGTTTGTAATAGCATTTATATGATATGATTGGTTATTTTTTTTGTTGTTGTTTGCTATTGTTTATAATACACATAATATATGATTGTATAAAATTGTTTTACTTTCTCCTATTATTCGCAAGTCATATTGTTTGGATTTATGTAAAAGAAATATTCATTTCATTCATATTTCTTTTTCTTGAAGAGGGGAAGTGTTATGTATGCAACATATTACATGTATATAGTTTGTATCTGACCAGTTGGTATTTCCAATTTATCATTGTTCTATTTTTAGAACATAAACTACATGTAATGTACTAGAACTTTCTTAATTGTGTGAGATAAACTCATGCATTATATTTAGTTAGAAACTTCCGGACTGTTCTTTATTCGTTGAAAGTGCTAGATTATGATTACACTAGAAACATAATAAGACTATTCTGGAATGTTTCCTATGTTTATATATATTACGGCATATTTTCTTTTCTTTTACACCTTTTAAAGTCATCAGTGATCTTTAAGTCATCAGCTTACCTTTAAGTCATCAGTGATCTATTAAGTCATCAATAATATATTTGGAGTATTATTGCAACTTGGACTATAAGTGAATTTTATGGAGCTTGGAATTTTAAAAAATTTTCTGTGGATTTTATTGTGGGCAATTATTCTAAGTGTTCTTGGATTTAACTTGGATTTAACTGTGCTATTGAAAAAGGATCATTCCAGGATCAGACCTAGACATTTGATAAATTTCTTATTTGGACTTCAGGTATTTGTAAAGATAAATTTGTTATTTTATTTTTCTTTAATAATTTTTCTGTAATAAATTTGTTATTGTTACAAGTTTGTTGCTGGCTTTTCTTTCTCGTTACGCCTGGCTCGTAACAATATAAATTTAGCTACATTATAAATAGTTTTATTCGAACGTGATGATAATAGTAACTCAAGTTTCTTGATATTTGGCCAGTGACAGAAGTAAAGCTGTAAATATTTTTTTCTTAAATCACGATAAAAAGGACAAACTAGAAGAAAATGGTATTCCGATTCGATTTGATTCATATTACATAACCTAACATAATCTATCTTCTTTTGAATGTTATTATATCTTCCGGTTTCAATATTTAAGCTATGTGACGAAGTTCTAAATCTAGTTAATGCTATTCGGTATTTATTTTCGTAGATGATATTAAGGTATTTCTCAAGCTCGAATTCATGTTTATATATTCGCGTATGAATTAAGTCGATTTGAATTATTAATTTCCCAATACCATGTTTGCATGTATGAATCATAAATTCTTTTCTTAATTTCATCGAAAGGAATGTCGATTTCAAATTGGTGATCCCAAATATAACTAAAACCATGGCTATCTAGTATAGTCTTGATTTGGTACGCCCAGTTATTTCTATTTATTAATATCAGACTAAAACGCTGAAGTTACTTGAATTTTACAATAGCAATTGTGCTAGATTATTGCTTAGCAAATTGTTCTGAATCACCGTAGTTGTTAAAGCCAAGAATTAAATCAAATTAAATAAAGAGCTATTGTTAATTGATTTATTGGGAGATGAATCTACTATTTTGTTGAATTGCTTCAAAATCCTCGTCTGACCCACCAGTGTGTTTACATTACTATCAATAAACCTATAACACCTCGACAAAAGTTTCCGTTGTTAAAATACATGTGGCAGTATTCGGCAAGTAAACATTCAACTCAAACCACCATAAAACCGATTGCCTTCAAACAAAATAGAATCAACTTCTAATAGCAAAAATTCGGGACACCAGGGTCGTTTTAAATAACCAGGTGAGCTATTTATTTACTCTTTTTTCGATAAGTTATAAAGGGTGCAATGTATGGCTGAATATGTTTGCATTTCATTCCGCAAAACTCTCCAGTTCGTTCAATTACCATAGCGGTTAATTTAACTACTTCTATAAATAGATTTTCGGACTTTCTATATGTTAAGGTCATATCTATTTATAGCTTTGTTCCCGTTCTCATTCATTAATATGACATGCTGCGAATCACCGAAGGGGAGAGCAATATATGACTTTACATAATAGAAATCGAAAGGAAATCGTGCTTCCGAATTTATTTTTAGATGTAAATCGAAGGGATTAATTGATAAAAATCGGGTCAATGGACAAAAAAAGTAATCACAAATAGCTCCCCGCCTGTGAGTGCGGAGCAATAATGACTGTGAGTCTATATTCGTTAATCAAAATTTTGACAGTGTCCCCGTGGTTCATCGTCAGTTATTATCTACGATTTCAGCATCTCCACCTAAACTGCTCGACGGATTTTGGCCAAACTTCACAGGAATGAGGTTAGAGAAGAGGAAAATATACTTAAAAATGTAATATTTTTAAAAAAAATCTTCATCTTAACAAACTACAGTGCATTTGGCATGAATCATTCTATTGTGTTCCTCTACAAAAGATATGTTAATTATACCGCAGATGTCAAAACTGGCCCTGTCTCCTCGAGTCGGTTTGTTTTATATATACTTGTATGGCAAAATACACATAAGTAACGACAATGTCAAGCGGTTATATATGTGACATATGTAGCATAACTTAAAAAATCTCTACACAAGTTTTTAAAGTCATGTCCTGGGGTCAAATTGCGCCACCCTGGAGCCACTTTTACATGTATGGAAAAAATGTCTTAAAATCTTCATTGAAAATACAATGTCCAGAGCTCAGATATTTGGCATATCACCCCGTGGTCCTCTACAAAAGTTATAAAAATTATGCCCCTTGGGTACAAATTGGCCCTGCCCTGGGGCACTTAATTTATTTAGTAAAATACATTTAAGTCTTCTTTGCAGACACTTACAAATATTTTTTTTAATTATGCAGCTTTGGGTAAACAAAGTGATCTCAATACTAAAATAAAATCGTGAATTTCTGTAGCTATAAATATCAGCTGAGCGGTTCAGAATTATCATGGCTTATTTCTATTAATACATGGCTTAATTCTTATGCAATTTTGTTGTGATTAATGCTTCCGAGGGATCACTTTCTTTCCAGATTTTTATTTGTTTTTCTTTCTTTCTTCTTCTTTTCTTTATTGACTCCCGGGGCATGATATTATGATACTTATGATACGAAGTATTTGCCCCATTCTAGGAATTGTGACCATTTCCTTCGCACCCATCTCAAAAAAGAACATTCTTGGTATATAGCATCCACCAGCAGAAGCAGAATGTCTCAACAAAACATATATTTCACTGTGAAATGCTTCTCCATATTTCCTCTCAGCGTCTTCATATTATCATTTTGGATCGTTCCATTGCATTTATTTGTTTAGGATTGAATACCGCTAGCAAATATGCTATGGGTATGAGAAATTTTGCACTTTTTTATTATTCTTCATCAAACAATAAAAACAGCAAGTAAAAGTTTAAGTCTGCATATAAAAAGTATGTACGACTAATGTTGAGGCTCTTTCCAGAAGTTAATTTTCTGTTTGAGATCCATTAGATGAGGGTCGATAAAAAATAATCTACAGGTTCAAGTTTCTGAGGGTGGGGTTCATTTTTCTCAGAGCGAGTCAGTATATTATAGAAAATGGGTCAATTTATCTTTATTGAATATTGACTGTAGGTCATTTTTTATGAGGTAACTTTACATCATTACATCGGCAAAGATTTGTTCTCAACGTGTGGAGATTTTTCAATTCTCTATCCAACCCATTTATAGATTAAGTTAGTATTTTATGTTAAAAAGAAAACTAGCAATAGAGATAGTTTTATTTATATAGATCTCACATATTTGGACATGCAATCCAATTTAGTGTTGCTCGGTAAACTTCAGAAACATGCCATGTTCCTACTGTTAATTTCGCAGAAGATGTTGTCAGAGAAGAAACGCTCGAATTTATCCGAGTGTTATGATCTTTGTTTACGTCAATCGTAGAAAAGGCAAATGTGATCACGGGAACCTTTGTAAATGAAGGAGAAAAATGAATAATCTGACTCTCCGAACAATGAGTTGCGCATTTCTCATTATTGAAATCAACTGACCCTGTTCGACCTGAAAAATAAAATGTTAACTCTTATTTATTTATTTCATTACAGTGCGATACTTCTATCGTTTATTTTCGTTAGCAACATTATATAGTTGTTGAAAATGTACCACATGTTATTCATATATAAATTTTGTAAAAGTAATGTAAGAAGTTTTATTTGTAACTAGATGTGTGTTGTAAAATTCATTATCAAAAAATATCAATTGTAATTTTCTCATCAAATATATTTTGCCCAGCATTAAAAGCAAGAGATCCACGATGTTTTTATTCGACAAATACACGAGGTCTGAGCTATTTCGGTGTACGGGTAGAAATGATCAAATCTTGTTAACTGTATATGTCGCCGTCCAGAAACGTCGACAAGTAATTTTTTTGTCAAATCATTTACCGATAGTTCACTTTCAAAATACCGCACCAGCAATCCTACTTACATCTTTGAAGTTTTTCAGCATTTAGTCCAGCTCGAAGATCTGGAAAAAAAATACAATTTGCGATCCATAAAATGACATTCTTTGTTCAAGTAAATGTAGTCATCTAACATTTATACACATGTATTACTTTCATTGAGGGTTCGCGCCCACTGGAGAAAAGTAAACAAAAAAGTAAAAAAGGAACGGGCAAATAGACAATGTGCAAGGCCAAGGATGATGAGTCTATCAATGGACGGACCTGTCAATTGTAAAATACCGTGCACGCACCCTAGCACCGACATAAGCAGGATTCAACATTTAAATATAAAAAATGGTGATATTTTAATTTAGAAACATCTGCAGATATTATCATACGGCGGTTATCATGGAACTTTTTATGTGACACTTTCGTGCCATTCCATGAAAAGCGGCAAATTAACCCCAAGTAATAGAAAGCGTGTGCCCTAAACTAGAAAACAGTGGGCGGAACAAAACAAAATGGAAGACGTCAGGTGCCCCTGTGCACTTCAGTAGAAACACCGAAGTTCCGTGAGCTAGATGGATAGCTTCCTGACATGAACTAATTCAAAGTCCCTGGCGTGATCCTTGCCCATAATATTGAGGACAAGTGGTTTTTCTCAACCACTCTGTCACGGATGCCGGATGTCCTTACTAAACATAAAAATATACAAGTACTATACAATGTCGGAAAGAATAAGTATGCATTGCATCTTACAATTGCAATATTGCCATACATAATATACAGCATAGAACATTTTTATAACGCACGTGTAAAATGTGCATAATGAAAGTTGTATATTATATATATTTTGACTATAGAGATAAATGTTATACAATTTCAAATATATCCAGTACCTGCTACTTCTTTTGCATGTTCATTCTTCAACTGCTCAACATCCTTATAATGTGTGGCATTTAACTCCCCAATCTCAGTTCGAAGTTGATGTATAGCTTCTGCAATGGATACTGGATCATGAAGTAGAAGACGTTTGTTTTCGAGGCTGAGGACTTCGCATGAAACAATTACTAAACAGAGCTGAATGCATGAAAACTTCATTGTTTAACGTGGCAGCACTACGTTCCGTTAGTAAATATTTCCTTCGTTGCTTTGGAATGCAAAATATGATTACGAATATTTAGATAAGATGTGGTATTTAAATAGTTTGTTCCAATTTCGTTAAAGGTACTAGTATTAAACCACTGTTCTCTGTCATGCACATATTCGCTCATTTTTAGCCATGAAAGCTTTCGCTTTTTCTAAAGTACACAACACTTTCAAAACACTGAAATATGTGCGGAACTTTTCATTTTTAATAAAATGGAACGCCTTTTTATTTTCCTAGCTTACACCTATTTAAATACAACGAATTCATTCTTAACTATAATAAAACACTTATCAGCTACTAAGGCAGTTGCATGATAAAAAATATTTTCATATTGGACTACTTTATGTCACTTGTTTGAGAGGAATATGTGAAAATAAATCATGATGTATAATTTCAAATTTTGCGATAGTCTAGAAATAAACTCTGCGGATATGACTGGCAAACTTTAAAGGATAAATTTATGAATGCAATCTTTTTGCATTTTATATTTTAACGAAAGCTATTTAAAGGGATATTCAGGCAAAATTATGACAAAAATATTAAAATGATCTTTTGTACTCAACTTGCGCTAAAATGACATTTCTGAAAGTTTCAGCATGAATTTCTGTCTAAATTCTATATATTTTGGATTTGAAGCATAACTATATCTATATATGTTGAACAAAATTAAGATGCCAATAGAATCACCGAATAGTTTTAAAACAAGTCAGGTGACTTGAACAAATCCTTGAAGTTACATTAACAAATAATGTGGATATTGTATGATTGAAACAAGTCAAAATCATTCATTTGATATGTTCTTTAACGTTTCCGGAGTTCACTGTGACAACTATTGTGGAATCATAGCGCTCTAACCTGACCCACGCGGGTCAGGTTAGGAAACCATAATTTTATTCTTTATATGGAGAAAAGTTTTGTTCCCTTACTGTCTAATATATTCATTTTGAGGGCATTTACAGAATAATGAATGAAAAATTCAAAACTTTGCCTGTGTGTCCCTTTAATATGGCATTTTAAAAGTGAAAATAAATACCATTAAATCAGACAACATATGAAAAGATTTCTTTAAGCAAATGACACGATGGTAAGCATGCGTAACAAAATTAGTGTTAAACTAAATGTTTTAAGTCTGAGAGTTCGTTAGATATTCGAACAATATAAAACATGACACATTTATTTACACATTTATATATTTCATAAATTTACATATTTGGACATGCAATCCAGTTAAGGCTTGATGAATAGATAAGTGTATCAGACCATGTGCTGACTGTAAGCGTGGCAGAAGAAGTTGTTACAGCTGATACGCTTGAAGTAATTCGAATATTATGACCTGCATGCACATCCATCATCGCAAATGCGAATGTAACTACAGGAACTTTTGTGAACGGAGGGTTAAAGTGGATGACTTGACTCTCTGAACATTGTTGTTTGGCGCATTCCTCGTAGTGGAATTTTATCGATCCTGTCCGACCTGTCAAAAAATCAGTTTATGCCAATCAATATACATGTATATTTATGTTATCTTTGGTTTTAGAGTGTTTATGTTACTAGGTTGTAATTATTGTAATCGTAGTTTTTATGTCTTTTTGATGATAAAGACTAAGGCTTCTGTATTTTTAAAGGCAGCACGTTAAATTGGGTCTGACGTCTTGGATGATTTAAATAACGTTTAAGATTATATGATCACAAACATGATATTCCTTTATTCACATGGCTTCATAACAGTATGCAAACATTTAAAGAAATATATACGTTTTAAGTGTTTTATCCAAAAACAAGTAAGAAAAAGAAATATAAAGGGTCTGACGAAAAATTTGAACTCAATCTATAATTCATGAAGTTTCAACTATGTACAAATAGTTCTATATAATACTATATTATAAAATACTAATATTATCCTCCGAAAACCATTTTCTATTTTCAGTAACAGTGACCTTGACCAGAGAGGGGGTCCAAGTGCAAACCGAGTCGAGGGTTTTATATAAGCTTGCTTAATATCAAGTTTGATGACAATATCTCATGCCTAACTGTAGTTATTTTCCAGAAAACTATTTTTATATTTTAAGTAACGGTGTCCTACAACAAAGGGGGTCCTAAAGCGATAACAACCCGTGTCTTCATATAAGCTTACTACATGTATATACCAACATTGATTACAATATCTCATTCATAATTGTCCGGAAATCATAGTTCTATTTTAAGTAACGATGACCTTGACCTTAACCTCAGGGGGTCAAAATGCAATACCACCACAGGTCTTCATATAAGCTTGCTAAATACCAAGATTGATTAACAATATTTCATTCTTAACCCAAGTCATTGTCCGGAAACCATTTTACTATTGTTAGTAATGGTGACCTTGACCTTGACCTCAGTGGGTCCAAATGCAATACCAACCTGCGTCTTCATATGAGCTTGCTTTATAGCAAGTTTGATTATAAGATCTCATTCCTTACCCTAGTTATAGTCCGGAAACCATTTTGCTATTTTTAGCAACGGTGACCTTAATCTTGACCCCAGAAGGTTCAAATGCAATAACAACATAGGTCTTCCTATAAACGTGCTAAATACCAAGTTTGATTATAATATCTTATTCTTAACTCTAGTAATTGTCCGGAAACCGTTTTTTTATTATTGTTCTAGTAACAGTGACCTTAACCTTGATTCCAATACAAACTCGAGTCTTCATATAAGCTTACTCTTTAGCAAGTTCATTGAACACTGCCTTTCCTTGTTGATCATGTTTATCATGTTTTGATCACAATATCTCATTCCTAACTCTAGTTATTGTCCGAAAGCCATTTTCTATTTTCAGTTACAGTGACCTTGACCTTGACCCAAGGGGGTCTAAAAGCAATATTGTTGTATTATGTGTATATTTATTAATATGAACAAAGAGTGTGTAATTGTAATATATAACACAGACACGTGTTGCTAGTTCTATCGTCACTGAATGTTCCAAGTATAAAAGTGGCGGGAAGATAATGGACACGCGCATTACAGTATAAGATAGCATTAAGATTAAACATATGTATACAATATACAACAAATATCAACCGGGTCTTCCACTTAAGGTTGCTATATACCAAGTTTGATTATAGTATCTCATACTAAACTCTAGTAATCGTCCGGAAACCATGGAGGCCGACCAACTGACCAAAGGACCGGCCGACCGACTAGTTGACTCCTATATACCCACCAAATTCCGTTTGTGGGGGTATAAAATCTGATTAAGTTGACAAACGCAGACAGAGTCCGTTTTATTAAGAACTATAACATAATATTTAAACAGATGACTCACAATAATTATAAACTAATCGCGTTTCAAGATAACATTCAATATGTTTATAATCCTAAATAATTGCACAACTAGACTTAGAATTCTCTAAACTTTGCTCTATCACGTCATAGGTCTTAATGAATTCTGGGTCATTATTTCTTTTATTTTCAAAAATAAGACGAAGGTCACAAGAACTGCTTAACTGATTTGTTAAAATTTTTGTTGGGTTTTACGAACACAGAACAAGTCAATTTGCGACTTTCTAACTTAATTGGTGGATGAATGCTTCTGCACGTGCCTCTCTGTATATCATTTCAGGCACAAACGGCACCTTAGTAAAACCACCGACGTTCCATAAGCTGACTGGATATCTGTCGCACATTTCAGAATCGGAGCGCGACTCGAACCTGCCGCGTGAAAGACAGGTGATTTGAAGACCACGACCTTAACCACTCGTCCACGGACGCCGAAGCGAATATAATGTTAAGAATGGCCAAGCACACAGAGAGCTGCTGCGTTCTTTGATTAAAAACTGGAGAGATGTATGCTATTTATGAAATAGAAAGTACTCAAATCAAGTCATATCTTTTGTCATAGATTTTCGTGTGAATAGAATTGTTTTTGATAGTAATGTGATGATTCAAAATAAAGTTTAAACGTAGTTTAGCTACCAATACAGAAATTTGCCGCGCTTGGCTGAAGGTTTTATACCACCAGGAGGTCACTTGACGCCTTCGTAAGCACGTACTATCGCATCGTACTCAAAATACGACGTCGTGTACCTATTCCGTGACCTTCGCGTGTCCTGCGGATAAACTACTTAGTAAATATTTGCATCTTTGATATGACTTCGTGTGTAGATCGGATGCCATCGCGTGACCTGGTAGAAATCGTATGTGGATCGGATACGATCGCGTGACTTTCTGTAGAAATCGTACTTGCTTCGGCTGTTGAAAGACTGTCGACCAATTTCGTGACCATCTTCGCGCGAAAATTTAACCATATTCGTATGACCATCTGGTGTCAATTTCGGGACAGTGTGACGCCGACATTATTTGAGTCATGCAGAACTTTGCGACAAATTATTCACAAAAATAAACTATCAAAGATAACCAACGGGTATGTCTTTTACATAAACGTAGTAATTATAATACTTACATCTTTCAAGTCTCTCAGCATTCAAACCAGCTTTAAGATCTGGAATAAACATAACAAGATCTAAAGAGTCAAAGTATAGTAAGATTCTTGTATACTAAATGCATAATTGTGGTTAAGTTCAAATGAGATTCCCTTATTGTAAAGATGTGTTTGAACACCTTTATTTGTTGCGTCTACACCTAGGTTCACATATTTTCTAACCTAACAACTCAATCGAGAGGATATTATAAGTGTTCTTAAGGAATCAGTTGGGGGCAATGACATAGATCACGCTGTCAAGAGAACTGCTGAACACATATATACTGAGGCAAAAATGAAACTGTGCACTTGGGTTGTCCTTTTTTCAGGCTATTCTTGTAAAAACATTTAAATGATACCAAAATCTGGATATTCATCCGCCAATATGATGCAGTCTGTTCTGTCATAATCAAAAATAAACGCCGATGTTTGTTTGTTTTTACACGATCCCAGTTTATATACCGGTATTAAACTAAAGGAATACTTTTCATGTTTATGTGGATAAAATTTAAAGCAAAAAAATATGATAAACAAGATCAACAAGGAAAGGCGGCGTTCAATGAACGCAACCCCCACACGACCCAGCAACAAGAACCAGTGGCAAGGAGCTAATCGTGTATTAAATAACCTGTTCACCTTAACCAAATGTGTTTTACCTGCTACTTCTTTTGCGTGTTCTGCTTTCAGTTGAGCAACATCACGAGAATGTGTGGCATTCAACTGAGCAACATCCTGAGAGTGAGAAACTCTCATTTGAGCTATAGTTGTATTCAGCTCTTCAATCTTTGTTCCCAGTTGATGAAAGGCATCAGCAATAGATTCTGGGTCGTGAAGAAGAAGACGTTTGCTCCCTAAGCTGCAAGATTCATGCAATAAAATTGCCAAAAGCAACTGGATGAGTAAAGATTCCATTGTGTACTGACATGAAACTTAACATTTATATTCGCTAATTTCGTAATACTTTAGTTTTAAATGTTCTTATCTACATAAAATCTGATATTATATAAAACCACAGTTTCTAAAGGTAATACACTTTATATTTATAAGAATATATTTGTTTATTGGTAGTAGAGCTTCAGAGGTTATAACGATAAGTCTATTTATAGTGTATGCTCAGACGATGGGAGTCGATGGTGTAAGTACGATATCTCCCTATGGCCTTAGATGAACCTGCTTCTAGAGTTTCCATTCTCCAACGCTCACCACAGGCCTAATGAGAAAGAATTAACATCACAGCATAGACTGCATGAAATCTTCTGTTGTAATTCAAAATAATAAAATCCTGCTTTTCATGTTAAATACGTTTATGTTGACGTGTTGTAAAAGACTTATTTTTACTGTTAGTATTTTTTGTTATGCCATAACTTTGATAAAGTTCGTATCTTTTATCAGTTACTCTCAGCATTAGCAGACACCTCATCGATACATAGTGAAATAAAATGAAGAGATCGGAATATTTTACCTACTTTATCTAGATTGAAAATATCTAACTGACAAACTTTGAATCGAATAGATTTTTTTTCAAATTTAAGTGTCTCTTACATTTGACTTAAAACATGTGGGACTATTTCTTATAGATATGACTCTTGGTATAGTACTGCGCACGGCATGAACTCGAGAGGTTCTTGAAAGGTTTTTGTTTCATGAATTTGAAATTTAAAGAAAGAAGCGCTTATTAAATTTGAACATATGATAAATAGAATACAAACATGTGTCTGATATAAAATTTATCAGACTCGGCAGGGCCTCGCCCTTCATTTTATCTTACCATTGCCTGATAAATTTTGTAATATTAGACACTAGCATGGTATTCTCTATTCATTCATCGTCTTACATTTCAAACACATAAAAGACAAATCACCTTTATAAAGACAAATAAACTAGGACACACAATGTTTGATAACAGGTGAAAGCACCGAAATGACGATAAACTCTGCGGCCATGCGGTCTTATCTAATTTTCATAGTTCTTCTTATAGACATTAATGTTATTTTCAAACGACTCAACTGGGGATTTTTTTGGCATGAAGGAACTAGAAATAATTGCGGGATATTAATATTTCATTTAATGTATATCAAGACCTGTACCTTAAGTGGAAAGTTTTAGATTACACCCATATGTGTATTTCAGAAATAAAACTGTACATAATACACTTAAGAAAACGGAATAAACCGATATAGCCCCAAAATACGCTTTCAGTTTATTTCTAAGTATATTTTGTAATAACCATTTGCATATCTTTGCCTTTTTTAAGTGAACCATCTAGTCTTTGTAAGAAATTTAAAGTGTATGTTTTAGGCTTTTGGGTCTCAGTGAAGTTCCTGTAATCAACCAAACATATGGTGTTGCTAAAAGTTCCTATATACTCGAGATGTGTCGGTGCATAAAGAATCTTGTTTTGTAACTGTTGATCGTCCAACCAACAATACTAAGCAGTTACATAGCTTATTATGCAGAGTTAAACTGGAATCACAATGGATCAATCTGGCATTATAAATAATCATATCAGTGTTGTGTTGAGTTAGGTTTGAGATCTGTTGAGTCAAATTAAGATTATGTCGGGTCAAATCTGCAAAAATGGGACTCCACATTATGTAGAATCAGAATGGCGATATGATGGGTCAATGAGACATTATTTAGATAAAGATTGGCGTTATACTGGGTCAATAGGACATTACGTACTTAATGGAACTGTAGATCATATATTTACTTTGAAATTGTGTAACTGATTTTAATCTCAATAAGTTGTGCATTTGTAGATTATAAAAAAGCTTTCGTTTCCGTAAAAAAGAATTTTTTTATGGAAGAAACTTTTAAAGCACAATGTAGATGATAAAATGCTAAGAGTAATTTAATTGTATTTACGACAAAGCTAAATCATGTGTAAAAAGCACTCAGGGTTTATCAACTTATTTTACAAGTGCAACGTACAGGTGTCCGTCAAGGTGAAAATCACCTATTTTTTTCTATCTTCCTGAATGATCTTGTGGAGCATATTTCATATATTTATAATGGTTTAGATTTACTTTCACAGTCTGGTAAAAATGTGCTAAGTGACGATATAGAGGAGGTTTACTTTAAATTGTTTTAATGTTTGAAATTATTTTTTGTCCAATAGGATTGCAGTATTTCAAATGAATCATAACACATTTACTTTGGTAAATCGGCAAACTGTTAATCAGTCTAGTAAATTGACTGTTTATAAAAATAATTTAAAACACTAGTAACTGATAATGTCAGTAAACTCGTAATATGGGCATGGTGTGGTGACAATATGGGGTTTTATGGGCCTCATGTTTTGTTTGGGGCACCTAGTATTTTATTTCTTTCTAGTCTCTTGTCTCTATAAGTCATTCTTAAGTATCTCTAGTTTTATTTTTTATTTATCATACAAATTAGTTTGTCTACAAGCTTTGTTTACACATTTATATAATTGTTTGTTGTTAATGCTCATTTGTTTACGACATTTCTGTTTATAACACTGAAAAAATTTTGAACTTGACGTTATGTTGAGTCAATCTGCCATTATGTAGAATCAGATTGGCATGCATAATGTTGGGTCAAATTGGCGTTATGTTGGGTCAATCGGACATTATGCAGATTCATATTGGTGTTATGTTGGGTCAGTCAGACATTATGTTTAACCAGATCGACGTTATGTTGGGTCAAGCAGTCATTATGTAGACACTAATTGGTGTTATGTTGGGTCAATCGGACATAATGTAGAATCAGATTGATGTTATGTTGGATCAATCTAACATTATGTAGAATCAGATTGGTGTTATGTTGGATCAATCTGCTATTATGTAGAATTAAGATTGGTGTTATGTTGTGTCAATCGGACATAATGTAGAATCAGATTGGTGTTATGTTGTGTCAATCTGACATTATGTAGAATCAGATTGGTGTTATGTTGGATCAATCTGCTATTATATAGAATCAGATTGGTGTTATGTTCTGTCAATCTGACATTATATAGAATCAGATTGGTGTTATGTTCTGTCAATCTGACATTATATAGAATCAGATTGGTGTTATGTTCTGTCAATCTGACATTATGCAGAATCAGATTGGAGTTATGTTGTGTCAATCCGACATTATATAGAATCAGATTGGTGTTATGTTCTGTCAATCTGACATTATGTAGAATCAGATTGGTGTTATGTTGGATCAATCTGCTATTATGTAGAATTAAGATTGGTGTTATGTTGTGTCAATCGGACATAATGTAGAATCAGATTGGTGTTATGTTGTGTCAATCTGACATTATGTAGAATCAGATTGGTGTTATGTTGGATCAATCTGCTATTATGTAGAATTAAGATTGGTGTTATGTTGTGTCAATCGGACATAATGTAGAATCAGATTGGTGTTATGTTGTGTCAATCTGACATTATGTAGAATCAGATTGGTGTTATGTTGGATCAATCTGCTATTATGTAGAATTAAGATTGGTGTTATGTTGTGTCAATCGGACATAATGTAGAATCAGATTGGTGTTATGTTGGGTCAGTCTGACATTATGTAGAATCATATCGACGTAATGTTGGGTCAAGCAGACATTATGTTGAGATACATTTGCGTTATGTTATGTCAAGTTTACATTGTGTTGTGTCAAATTTCCATTAATGGGATTCAACTAAGGTTTTGTAGGGACTATATATATTATCATTATTATTTGTGTACCATTTTATGTTGGTCTAGACCAGTAACTTGTGCTAAAATTCTTTAGATCATTCGCTCTATCCGTTTATTTGGAAATATCAATTGTGCAAAAATCTCAAATATCACTTTTAAACGGTTTTAACTAAAGTCGGATTCAGAATGGCATTAAAATACAACATTCAGTTTAATTAGAAGTATATTTCTTTTTTCCTCTTTTACATTTTTCCCGTTTTAAAGTGTATAAAACTATATATCTTCTTGAAAATTCATTGTTTGAATTCTAAAAAAAGAATACTTCCAACATGCTTGTAGGAAAAAAATATGTATTTAATGTATTTTATTGCCTTTAAAACAACATACAGTATTATGTTTTGTTCCGAAACCTTTTATTCTGTTAACGAACAACACTTGGAATCGTTCGTAATACTATGGAATCAATATAATTTTGCTGTTTATAACCTTTATAAAAAGTATTTCAAACAATTATAGCTTTATACCATTTCTTTAGCGAAAGAATTAAAAAAAAATATGGGATGATTATGCTTTTTGTCTTCATTAGAGCTCCTAGTCCGGTAGTTATTATGTTGAGCCAAAATGACAACTGACTGAGTGAAAGTGGTATGATGTCGGGTAAGACTGTTGCAAGGCGGAGTCAAAGTGGCGTAAATCTAGGTAAAAAATGCATTCTATTTAGTCAAGATGGCATATTTTGTTGAGTCAAAATAGCATTATGTAAGGTCTAGTTGACATAATTAAAAGTCTATATGGCATTTCGTTTATCCCAATTGCAATTCTAATGGGTCAAACATGAAACGTAAGTTGGTTGCCCAGTCGTTGTCACAAATAAATAAATAAATAAATAAATAAATAAATAAAAATGAGGTGCAACCTTATAAATATCCATAAGACCCAGGGCTGAGATATTTGGTATGTAGTATTGTCCAGTGGTAAAATATGATAAACAATATCAACAAGGAAAGGCGGTGTAACCCATCCCCGCACGACCACAATACAAGATCCAGCGATCAGGAGCCCAGGAGGACCCTACAGAAAAACAGGACAGGGCAGGCAAAAGACAGAAAAAAACTTGGTTTTACATCATGTTTTATAGTAAAACATCGTTTAAACAGTTTCTCCGAGGGTTTAAACATTTGTTTTGAAGCATCATGTAGTACACAATTACAACGTATATGCAGGCGTCACACTGTCCCGAAATTAACAACACATACGAATATGGAATTTGAAATTTCGCGCGAAGATTGCCCCGAATCAACAGCCGAAGCAAGTACGATTCCTACAGAAGGCCACGCGATCGCATCCGATCCACACACGATTCCTACCGAAGCTCACGCGAGCGCATCCGATCCACATACGAAGTCACCTCAAAGATGCAAATTTTTACCAAGTAGTTTACCCGCATGACACGCGAAGGTCACAAGATAGGTACACGACGTCGTATTTTGAGTACGATGCTTTCATGCGTGGTTATGAAGGTCCCCTTCGGCCAACCGCGGCAAATTTCAGTGGCGGATAATATTGGGAGCTTAACTACGTTAAAACTTTATTTTGGATCTTCATATTACATGTACTATTAAAAAAACAATTCTATTCACACGAAAATCTATGATAAAAGAGATGATTTCGATTTTGGTATGGTAAATTAACCGCATTTAGATGGAGACGTACCGCATGCAACATCTTACGGGGTAAATGTATCTCAGTTAATTTGATTTGCAAGAGCTTGTAGCAACGTAAAGGATTTTAACGAGCGAAATATTTTCCTTACAAGCAAGCTTCTCAAACAGGGCTACAGCTATTATTAATTATTTTACAATCGTAACTTTGATTTAATTTCAACACTTCTGCGACAAGGGATTAGCCAGTCTGATTTTTGGGGATGTTATTTACAAACTTGGTATGATCTTGGGTCATTGTCATTTGTCTGTTGTCTTTACTAAAATTATTAAACTTTTTATTAAAAGAAGTTATGACCCTACTATTAGAAGACCTACCGCATGCTTAGTGTTCAACACTTTTACAATTGGACGCTACGCTTTCCTCTTTTGATTACATCTGGCAGACCAAGTGGGAGACTCTATGATGGACAGTTCTAAAAGCCCTTTGGGACTGAATTGCCTTAATGTGCGTCTTCTGTCTTGCTTCGTTGGACCCTTGTAGGTGATTTTCTTGTTGCTCTGTCTTCCTTTAAGACATTGCATACTTTTGTTATGGTCAATGGATTTTCTTTTATATGTTTCTACATGATCATTTCAGTGTTCACCTTTTGTAACCATAACAACTGTTAGAATTTCACTTGGCGGGATTCATTTGATTTACACTTCTCGTTTATAGGAACATGGTGGGGCTAAGAGTGAGGTTTGGTGCACCATTAATCGGTTTAAACTCCCCAGCAGTACTTTTTCTGCTGACCGTTCCAATGCGGCGCCACTCTGTGTTTCTCAGATGTATGTCTTTGTTGTTTCATACTGCTTTGGTGACATATGTGTCTAGTCTCCCTTGTTGTATTCTCGTCTACGGTAATTATCTTCCCTTTTGCACCTAGTTTTAGTTCTTCAATTTTGCCCCCCCCCCCCTTCCCCGAATCTCCTTGCTTTGTGGGCCTATTAATTATTATTATTAAATTAATAATAATTTATTTGTTTTCTTTGATTTACTTGTCGGTTACTATTATTTCTTCTTATATGAAGAAGGCTCCTTGCCACTAGTTCTTGTTGCTGGGTCGTGAGGGGTTTGCGTTCATTGAACGCCGCCTCTCCTTGTTAAAGCTGTTTATCATACTTTATCATGCCACCCAAGGTTGGCATGTAGGAGTTGCTCTTCATATTTTCTAAGGTGTGTCAAAATAAGCAATGCTGCTGCCGTCTTCTTCTCAGTTGACTCATCATCAAAGCATGAAATTCTGCAGGGAAATAAATTGAAAATAATTGTTAATTAATTGCAAATAATGGAAGCTTTTGATGTCTGTGTAGAGATTTACAAGACTGACAGATGAGGAAGATGGTCTGAGGCTAGCCTTCTATATGTCCACCATGATAAAACTTGAGCCACTCAAATTTGCTTTTTTCGTACGCATCGTGGTCCCATCTTGATGACATCGTTCCACAATACGATGGCGACACGACGCTATTGCGGGGGTTTCACGTAATCGTGTACCATTCTTAAGACAATCGGGAATCTTCGTGTTTCCTTCGTATTGTCTTCTTGGCGATTGCACCGATGATCACACGAAGTTAAGATGAAGACGACACGATTTGACAAGATGGCTTCACGATGGCCTTACGAGGCGCAAAATTGGCATACGAATTCAACACGAAAATGAACCTTCGCAATGTATTCCGGCAATTTTGGCATGCCAAACATTTTGGGACCGCTCACGAAGTTACTGCCGGAACCTGAAAAATTTTAGCAGGGGGTCATACGATGGCAAAAGATGCTTTCACGAATGGCCCGACGTTATAACGATCAGATCCGAATTTGAACATTTCCTTATTCGTGTGTCCATCTAATGCCAATTTCGGGACAGTGTGACGCCTGCATTGTGAAAATCAGGACACGAACGTTCAAAATGAGCTGACTCCGAGGATCACTTTATATTACATCGTCTTACATAGGAAAACCCCTAAAACTGTTGCTGTCTATAGATACAATATTTGATGTGCGGCATTTTCTAGTAGACCTCTTCCAATTTTGATAAAATCATGACCCTTTAGTCAAAATTGGCAACGCCTAGAAGGTCAACATTTGCCCAGTTTAGGAGGTCTCTTAATCTTACAAAGGGTCATGTACGAAAACATTTAAAAAATATTTTCTTTTTATAAAAAGAATGAGAATTTTGTGTCTATCTTATGAGTTAACATCTCCACTAAGTTATAAAAATGCAGACATCTAGCAATCAATCCAATCGCAAGTGCATGTAAACTTGAAATAATTATATTTGATAAGTTGGCAGGTTTTTACGCAGACAGTAAAATTAATAGTATTTAGGACATACGAGGGGTGTTTAAAAATATAATGGGACTAAGAGTCTTTCATCTTCGTATTCCATTCATTTTAGAATTGTTCTGTGTATTGTATTGACTTCTTCACTGTACATATGAGAACGTGTTCCGTTATTTGTCCCTTGTAAAATTGTAAAAGAAAATGTGAACAGTAGAGCTGCAGTTCTATTACATGTACTTTTTGAACAACCCTCGTACACAAACAATAGTCATAAAAATATAATGAAACAATACCGAGCGTAATATTTTATTTGATCAAACCGTTTGGAATCAGCATCGAACGGAGGAAACATGCATATTGTAACTCATTCAGACATATTTGTGTGGACCTACCTCCATATGCTACAACAATCCGTTGTTAAAATACCTATATATGAGACAAAACTTTTTCAGTAATAACCAGAAAATGTCAAAATTGTCAAATCACAGCATCACTGGTCTTATGACCACTGTACATCAGTTTATTGCATATTTGTATTGAGCAGACCCCTCGCATAAATTTTCTTTTAACTGTAGTCTTTAGATAGTTATTCTTCTTTCAAAGCTTCCGCCGTATGTCTAATTATACTCTTTTTTTTCGTTGATAGTAGAGCGATTTTTTACCAGGAAGATTTTTATTTTTGAAAGGTTTGATGATAGATAACAAATTGACAATTACCACTATTGAGAAAGGTGTTTGCAGGTGGTAGTTTCAGTTGGACAACTGTCTATTTTCTTGTATATTGTGATATGGAGTTCATATCCACACATGGATTACAAAATGAATTTTGAATCCGCTGTTAGTTCCCATGCAGAAACGGTCAAACAAAGGTCTTTAAGTAGCCTAAGTATGTTAGGCATTTGAGGTCTTCCTCCACCAATCGCAATATGACCTATGCTGTGTCGATGTGACGTAAAACCCAAAGCAAACAAAAATGTTTTACACCAATGTGTGACGAATGAAATTAAATATAAGGACATTTTCCTCATCATCGTTTTTGATGTTCTACACACCTGAGCCCACCTGACATTCTCAAAGAAGACTGCACCAAATATGTCAAGACATGGGTGGGTTAATAACTATCAATGAAAGAATTGAATACATATACATATATACAGGTTTTATTTTAATAAAATAGACCATATTTAACAAAATAAAATAGAAACAATTAAGAAAACTCGCCATTCAAAGTTTCGAAAATATATGATCTGCATATGGATGCCACAGTGTTAGTGAGGCGTAAATAATAGATACAACATTTCATCACGTAATTTTATCAATTTTCATTATCTATTCAATAATAATAATAATAATAATAATAATAATAATAATAATAATAATGATAATATTATAATGATAATATTATAATAATAATAATAATAATAATAATAATAAACTCTTTATTTAAATAAGGTAGCTTATCAAGATAAAACATTAAGGCATCCAGAGATAACACATAATATAATGGTCTTATTTTCAACAAGGGCTTAAAAAAACATTCAGCAGATCTACAGCTACTACATCTTAACCAACAAAGCAGAAAACAGAAGTTTTTAATTGCACATTAAGGATAATAGAATAATTCTTATTTACCTTTATTATCATGACCGGGTAAAACTATAAACATTAAAACTATTAAAAATATATCTGAAAAGATGATAATACAGATCTACCCGGAATCAAACAAAAGTTGTGCTTGGCCTATGACTCTGACACTAATTGATTGGGAACCAGGCTATATTGCGCTTTACCTGTTTAATATTTTGTGGGTCAGGAAACCAGTCAAATGTAAATTACCCAGTGTGCACCGTAACATAAACTTTGGAAAGTTAGGAAGTTATGGCGGTGGGATTTGGTCGGAGGAATGTTGGAGTTTTACATAATTTAGTTAATTCAGTGCATTTAATTTCAAAAATGAATCAATTGGGATTAATAGTTTTAATTTTTCATCTACCTCAATTTAGTTTAGGAGCCGTAAATTCGTGTTATGACTCGAGAGGTAGAGCGCAAAAATGTGAGCCAGAATTTGTGAACGCTGCCTTCAACCTCACTGTAGAAGCAACTAATACATGTGGATTAACCGGTCCGCAAGAGTTCTGCTTGCAGACTGGAGTAACAGGCGTGAGAAAATCATGTGGTCACATATGTGATGCTGGGTCTCCGTCCCAAACACACCCACCGTACTATATGACTGATTTTAACAACCAAAACAACTGGACATGGTGGCAGAGTGAAACTATGTTAGAGAGGAGGGGAGAATGGCTTAACTCTCGCCAACAACATGTTAACCTTACGCTTAGATTAGGTAATCAAATGAATAATATAGGAATTATATAGGAAATACTTTAACAGAAGTATCCTCATTTATCTACTTATCAGTCATACATTACCATCCAGTTGAAATTGTGATATATTATATTTTAAATAACTTTTATTTTTTTAATAAGGTTTTATTAATTTTTAGGAGTTGACAAAATGACAGTTTGATTGCCTGAAATAACACTCTTACAGTTTTTGTTGTTCTATTTTATTTTATTCCATATAGAACTTATGTCGAAATGACATTAGATTAGAAATTTAGAAATAAACAACTACAATTATCCTTATTCATTACCTGTTTCTGTAACAATTTAACTATTTTTATCCCCATTTATTCGAAAATCATACATACATAGTTATATACACAATCAATAAATATGCTGTATAAGATATTTGGGCAATGGCATCATATTGTCTATTGACAAAAATCATTTAATTAGATATTTTGAGATGCAAAATAAAAGCTATCACCAGTAAGTACGATAGAACATGGATCAAATTTAGTGGACCCTTGATTATTCTGTTCACATGCTTTTTTATTGGTGGCTATTGCCCCCACTCCTTCAGTGTTTTACACATTTATTTCTAAAACTCAGAAAAACAACCCAGTAACAGATGCATGGTGGACCAATAAAACTTGATTTTATCCAATCCATTTTAATTTTTTCTGCAATTTTATAATCATTAAAAATAACATCTATAACATCAAGTTACAGTCTTTCATTTGATACATTTTTTTGCCCTCAAAAAGTTTTTGAAAAAAAACAAAAACTTATCAGCAGTATTAGCTTTAAAGTGTTTAATTCACATCCTGGAAACCATGTCAGAATTAAGTAAAATTAATCAAGTAATTATCATAGTGTTGTATTTTTCAGACCTGCATGAAATTTGACATGTCAGACTACCTGGCTATGAAGCAGCATGTCTGGTATTTTAAGATTTAAACAGAGTGCAGGGGGGGGATCTTGCCTTTTAAGGCTTTTATAAGTATAACAAAACAAGCACACCAATAATTATAATTCATTTTTATATAGATATGAAATTCTCTGATTGAGTATTGAGTAAGTCAGAAATTGTTTTAATATAATGTCATCTATATTATTGATAAAGCAACTTTAGGCCTTGCTTTAATGTTAAACATCCAACTAAGTTTAAACATAAAATACCTGTGATAGTTTTGTGCACATATGTTTAGGTCATTTTAATACTATTTTGTTCTTTATCTATGTCTGCATTGCTTTATAGAAACCATTTTTTTTTACAAAAAATTACTGAAATATTATCACGTATTTATACCCAGCATGCAGTCATCAACTGTTATGTAATGTATGCATGTCAAGGTTTGCTAAGCCAGTGACTGGATGCCAAGGTTATTATGAATGTATTAATATCTCCTGTAAGAAATGTGTTATCATCGGAATTTATGACAGATTAGGAGATTTTCGTCTTTGTTGTCACAAGTTTTAATTCTTATTTACTTAGGTCAGTTTGGAGGTTTTATTATATAGGATAATACTACAATTGTGCAGTAGTGTGTAAATCTGTCTTTACGGGTGGTTTTTACAGCATATCAATATTGTGTTTATTCAGACAAAATTTGTGTGAAATTTATGGCTTATGTTTCTTTCCTTCTAGACTGGGTGTCCAGATTTTAAATTCAAGTCTTTGATTTTTTTGTATTTTTTTGTATTTTTTTTTTTTTTTTTTAGAAATTTTATTTACTAATACAGAACAGAACACTTAATGCCTCAACCCTCGTGAATATCACCGACTTTAGTATTCCTTACAAAGCCACATAAACAGTCAACATAGTAAAGGTGTCCTTATTTTCCTCCATGTCAGATCAGTGTAGTAAGTCTCCTTTTAAAACTGCAGTTTCTTTACAAGCATTTCTCTGTGAAAGATTAAGTAATTTAATTATCTATAACTTAAAGGGCATTTCAGGGGAAAAATATTAGCTTTCTGTCTTCTAGCTGATATAATAAGTCAGATGATGTTAAGTAATGGTTCAGGTGAAGAAATGCACAGGGCATTACAGGGGAAAATATACATATTTTGAACTGGGGAAACAGCCTTTATTTGGCTGTAAAATACAGGAAAGAAAACACTGTTGGTATTTTAAATAATTTCAAAAAAAAAAATATCACTCTTCCATATTTATAGGTATTTAAAATACCTATAAATATGGAAGAGTGATCGGTCTCTTAATTGGAAAGAGGTCTTAGTCACTTGATTTGTGGAAAATTATTGCTAAAATTACAAATTTGGAAAGAAAAAAAGCTGGTGTAAGTTTTGACTTTTGGGAAACCAGCATGGTTTCAAAGAAAAATTCAATTGGGAAGAGGCGAAGCCTTTTAAATTTATGCCTTAGTTATTTAAGGTGAAAAATCACTGGCTGCATGCATGAAATCATTTCTCAACGGTTAAAACCCTGTTTAATTTTAAAACCAGCAGCAGAATTTTTTTTCTGTCTACACACTGACACAATTTTTTTTCTGTCTACACACTGACACAATAGTCATGCATATTTTATACAGAGAAAGTCTAATCTATGTTACAAAGTTATCAAGAATCAATCATATTATTCTGGAAACAAATAGAGGGAATTTTTGGTGTATAAAAAATATTAAGAGAAAAGGTTTCAGTGCCAAAATGGGTTCTTTTAAAATGACTGAATTATTTTATTGGCCTATTTACAGCTAAAATCTTGTGTGTATGTACTATGTATTTATGTGTGGCAGTAAGGTGTAGAGTGTATGTTGATAAGTAAAGATAAGACAAGATTATCGGAGATTAACAACATTTCCTGCTCTCTATCTACATGTAATATCCACCTGTACACGGCATCTTACACATAATTGGTCTTCTTGAATTAGGTTTAGCATACTGATGATTTTACCAGCATGATGATGGTCTGTTTCTATGTAGTTATTGAAAATTTATCTTAATATATCCTCTATAAATAAATTGCTGAGTTGGCTCATTTACCTTTCATTTAGTTTCATATATATTAAATTGGCCATCTTCAGAACTGTACACTGTGCAGAGGATTTTGTCCATGATGATGGCCTGTTTTTATGTAATAATTGTATATATATTCATCTTAATATATCAAAATTGTCTAAGAATATAAATTGCTGAGTAGACAATTTTACTTTCCTTAACTTGTTTTGGACACCACAGATAGATTTACCATTAAAGTTGACCAAGGTTTCAAGTAAAAGGTTACCTATGTGCCACAGGCGGCAGTATCAGTGTTTGGACACCCCACCCCTATCTGCCCCTGGACCCCTACTACAACCCTGAAAAAAAATTCAACACTCTAAGGCTTACTATAAGGTACCAAATACAAAACCACCGATGAAATTATATAAAAAAAAATTTTTCCACTATCAAAATTATAGTTATAGAAAGGTGTAAAGCCTACTATATGTCCATTTGCCAAACAATGTGGAACACGGGAAATCGTCGTTTCGGCGACTGAGGCGCATTCCGGCGGGATTTCGCTGCATCATTCATTAACATTAATAAAAAGAACTAGAATTCCTCAGTTTATGTAATTCAAGTCCAACGAATATCACTATCATTCCGATTTTTTCTGTTTCACGGTATTTTTTGAATTGTCGTAGCCATTTTGCAGTCTGATACCTGGGTTGAAATACGCGATCTGATTGGACGAGCCAAATTGGACTTCCAATCAGATCGCGTATAACACACAGGTATCAGAATCCAAAATGGCAACGACAAGTCAAAAATTACCGTGAAATAGAAAAAATCGATAGAATTAAGTAAGCTGTGGAATTCAAGTTCTTTTTATTGATATAAATGAATGATGCAGTGAAATCCCGCCGGAATGCGCCTCAGTCGCCGTGTTCCACATTGTTTGGCAAATGGACATATAGTAGGCTTTACACCTTTCTATAACTATAATTTTGATAGTGGAAAATTTATTTTTTTTATATAATTTCATCGGTGGTTTTGTATTTGGTACCTTATAGTAAGCCTTAGAGTGTTGAATTTTTTTCAGGGTTGTAGTAGGGGTCCAGGGGCAGATAGGGGTGGGGTGTCCAAACACTGATACTGCCGCCTGTGCTATGTGCTAAAAGTATATTTTACATTTTAATTTTGCACTCTATAGAACAAATAAATATTTGTGGTTCCTGTTACTGTGGAATCAATTTGTTGGAGCTAAAATGAGGAACAAAATGTTAGAAAAAATTATAAATTAGTCAAGTAATATGATATTTTTTGTGAAAGCTTTAATAGTTATATTGTACATTTTATTGCTTTTATCACCTAGTATACCAAGGTACTTGCATCAACAATTTATGTCCTACGGAAAGAGTAATTAAGATAAAATATGAATTTATATAATGATCACTAACTCAACACCTGTTTTATTATAATTTCTTTTTTAGTGTGTGTTCAATCTAGCGGAGATTACCTTTCCCTATAATCTATTTTTGGTTATCAAAATATCAGTAATTATGGTTTAACAAAAGGTGTCAAATTGAAAGTTATAAATGTGAAAGCACAGTATAATAGTTGGTATACCCCATGTTGGGATTTCTTATCGCTCTACCATCTGACAGAAGGCAACAATTTTCTAGATATAATCTTGAAAAATGTTAATCTCATTGAAGAAAATCACTTTATTTAAAACTGTTTTTGTTATATTTAATATACAAAAAATGTTAAAACATTTGTTATAATTGTATTAAATTTTTCAATGCTTTACATATAGAATGATTTATGATGTGTTCGGCAATTTTTGTTAACAGGTTATTAAGCCAAATAAATGACTAAAATTACCCTTTATTAATTTCTGCACTAAATTACTAACAAGGGTAGAATGCATTGATCAGGTCAGGGCCAAAAAACCCTTCTTTGTAGAGGCCGAATATAGGCTGCTTCCCCAGCCAAACTAGCCTCTTTTTTCCCCTAGTTTGGTCCTCAAATTCCCGTCTTTTGAGATTTCCCATAGAAATTTAGAACAAAATTAAATGATGGTGTTGAATTAAGGTCTTTTACTGCCTTATTAGTATTTCCCAGTGCTTTTTGGTTTTCTATTTTGAAGAACTTGTTAAAAGTTTGTGTTAACTTTGAGACCCCTTTTCCCAAAGTATGTCAAAATCACGCATATTTTCCCCAAGATAAAGGTTGAGGCTTCTTCCCAAAAAATGGTGTTTTGGCCCTGCAGGTGTTTCAATTTTTTTATATTTTTTTTTATGAATTGTTTTTTCTGAGTCATATTCTCAATTAGAAATACTCCCAAACTTAAAACATGTAGTTGTGCAGGAGGTGAATATTATTGCAGGCTAGACAGTACATGAGCTGTTTTCATCTGTAGATATGCACTAAGAACTTATCTGGGTTAGCACTTCACTAGTATATTCCCAATTTTAAGCAAAATGCTACAGAATTTCTCCCAATTCAAACAACATTAAATTGATTTAAGATATTCCCAAAATACTTTAGAAACTTTTTAACTGACTCTGTTAACTGACTCGGTGTTTGCCAGTGTATGCCAATACAGGGTTCTAAACAGAAATCATACAATCTTTTAAAACAGCTTAGACATTGTGTTTTTATTTAAATAAATGTGTCAGTAAGTAATTTCAACTCGTATTTTTTTAAGTTTAATAACCTAGTATCATTACTGAAAGAAACAAGTTCCCAATTGGATTAACCTTGACCTGAATGACCACCCTCTCCTCCCTGCCCCCAAAAGGGTGCTCAAGGAAAAACCTACTGGCACTTTTTATAAAGGCAAACACCAGACATTTTAGCTGCCAGGGCATAAAATTTATATAAATATTTAATTTAATATTAATATTCAATTTATAATTTCACATTATCTGTGTATACTAGTAGTTAAGTTGGTATATAAGATCATGTAAGAGTGTTGGCATCTTGGTGTATTTTATATATGCCATATTATAATATATGATATTAGATCTTCTTGTTACTAGAGATGGCCATCTTTTATTGCTCAAATGATTAATGTTGTATTCAGTTTCTGTAAAAAAGAGTCTCTTTCATTGAGTCTGATTATATTGTATCTATACAGTAATTTATTATACATTATTTAAATTCATATTGTGTTAGTGTTAGTTTTTTAAAACTGTATAATAATTATTATCAAAGGCAAGATTTCACAAGTTAATGGTGTTGGAAAAAAGATTCTCCAAAAATTTTAAGTTTTCAAGATTTTAAGGCTAATTTTATATGGTAAAACTCAAGAACATAGTCTATACTTATATATAGTCTATACCTTTATAACTTGTAACTTTAAAGTAAAATTTATACATTTTAAGATGTATTGCACATTGATTTTACATTTGGTAACCATGTGTAAAATTGCTGTGTTTCATAAAGAGCCATAAATGCCTTAGAGCAGCATGCCTCCAGATTCAATGAAAATTTTGAAAATGTGTTTATTGCACATAACATATAAATTATTACTTGAATCTTTTTACTTTCCTTAAAATCTTAGTAAATTTTTCTCAAGTTTGATTTTCTTGAACTATTTTGGCTCATATCATAAAATTATGCAGCTTTAAAAAAGATCAGGTGGTTGGGAAATCTTCACATTTTTTGGAAATTTTCTGTAAGAAATTTTTGGAAATTTCAACTGGTCTGTCAATTTGGGAAAGGCCTACATATACTACACTCAGCCTACATGTATAACTATATTCAATGAAAAAGAATTCACCAAGTGTAAGCGTAGGTGGATGCCAGACAGCCTTATTACGTCTATTGAATGAATATATGTATCTATATTATAATGAAAAACATCGATTCACCCACTGACTCACTTTAAAAGTGTGTATACTGCTGAATTAAATAAGTCGTCTCTTTATATTGTAACATGATATATATAAATCTTCAAAGTTGAATGAATTTTATTTATATAGTTTTTGTGGTTGACACATCACAGCAGGCTTCTAAGCTTTTCTCATTTCATGCTTGTTTAACTATAGTTTGTGGTTTATAATGTTCATGAAAATAATAAACAAATATCATTGACTATTTTAAGTGATTGTCAAAAACTCCTGCACAATTTAAGATATAGATACACACATTCATATAGATTGACCACTGAACCTGTACTTTTAGCTGCTTAAAGGGTCTCTATTGAGGTGTTTTGACATGAACTGGACTGGAAATAAGTTTTCGAGATAAATGTTCCATTCGATGTAGGTCAAGACAAATTATTTCAGGGCACTCGTTTGGTAGTTTTTGGGGCCGAATATGGGTACCATTCCCCTCTCAAAATCATATGTATTTTTCCCCTCTCTCAGAATCTTCCCTCCAAATTCTAAAATAAATCAACTTAAAGTAATTTGTTTGATTTGTTTGTCTAAATTAAAAAAATATACTAGCTATAATTGATTTCAATGGTAGGAAAATTACAAACTATTGAAACCAATGGTAGGAAATATTGTAATGACTAAATGTGATAACAATACACTAAATACATCATTACATAAAATTTCAGATTTTGCCTTAAAATTCCCCTTCCTTAGGGTATGGGTACCTGTCTCCAAAAGGTGTCTAGTGCCCTGGATTTGTTCACAAAATTGCAGATCATTTGCTCACTCCATATTTTTTCCAGAATAACAATTCTAATTGTGAAAAATGACCCAAAATTGAATAGAGTTGCAATGCTTTTCACCCCTTATCAGATGGAGAATAGGGGGGCATTAAGACCTCACTGGAGTACCTTTAATTTTGGTTGTTTGATATGAAATCACTAGAATTAGAGATTGAGGTTAACTAAAAGCTGAGCATGTCCATTAATTTCACAGAAGAGATAATTTGTACATGTATTTAATTATTTTGTTTGTTTTACATTCAGGTAAAGCATTTGATGTAACATACATTCGCCTTAGATTTCATTCACCAAGACCTGAAAGTTTTGCTATCTATAAACGTATGTCTATGGAAGATGAATGGAAACCATACCAGTTCTACAGTGCCTCTTGTGGGCGCACATACAATTTACCATTTGGAAATTACGTGTCACGACAAAATCAAGATACAGCTACATGTACAGACGAGTATAGTGACATTTCCCCGCTGACTGGAGGCGAGGTGCCGTTCTCAACCCTTGAAGGAAGACCAGGAGCAGAAAACTTTGAAAGTGATAAAATATTACAGGTAAAATCTTATTATAAAACATTGCAGGTAAAAACTAATAATTGTAATGTGTTTTCCTTTTTTTGAGAAAAACATCACAAAATTAAAACTTAACACACTGAATCAATATAGATCAGAGTCAAGTATGTATGTCTGTGTCTGTAAACTTAACATTGAATATGGCCGTATTATACGATCCCATCAATGTATGCTACAGTCTTCAAACTTGGAACAGACATTCCTCCACGCTTCAGCTTCCAATTTTAACATACCAGTCCTTTGATTTCACAAGACTGTTGTGTTTTCAAAACTTCTATGTGAGGGGTATGTTGGCAGTATGTTTTATAAAGATACTATATAATGGTTATATCCCTGTTTGAGAGGATTGTTTTTATCTTTGTAAATAAACAATTTAACTTGTATCATTGAGTCAAGGATTTATTTATGCTAATATCAGTGCTTGAAATAGTTAAGTAAATGTTTTCTTGTAAAGATTCTTTATGTTACCCTGCTAGATTTATTAAATGAATTTCCTGTCCATTATCAACTTTAAGGATGTCAAGATGAAAATTAAGCCAGTATGTATGCCCACTCAGTTTCAAATATAAGGGTAAAAGGACCCAACATGAGTTAGAATTTATGGATGTTCTTACTGTCCTGATTCATGACTGGTAGAAAAGTCTGTAAACTTACTTTTAATTTAAGAACGGTCTAGTTTTAAAGAAATAGTAATGGTTATATCTAAAATTCTGGTCAGCAACCAAAAAGGCAGTTTTCATTACAATGATTATAGAATTTAGTATGAAACAAATAATTCAAGCCAGTCTGCAGAGAGATGAGCATTTTGTATCAGTCAGTAGTGTAGTAATATAGACTCTGCTGATTGTGCAGGTAGAGAAAATAAAGCAAGTATACAGGCACGCCCAAATCATAGTAGGCACATGGCCAGAAATAATAGACATGATATACATAAATATCTAGTGTATATTAATAACTAGTCATCAGCAAAATTTTCTCAACATATTTTACATATAAGAATATTTTCAGGCAGTCAACTAATGGGATGTTGTTATATAAGTTTTTGTAAATTTCCACCAAAATGAAGAGTTATGAAACATTATTGTTATTAAGTGTAGCATAATTTACTTGCGTCTTTTGCCTCTTGTTGGAATTTGATTTGTCCATGTTTAAATTGAGAATTGTTGAACATTATAGTTTTGTAAGACTGCACAGAGGTGCCTACTCAGTGCTGGCCTAGCTCTGTTCTTGTGGCAAGTCTAAAGCTCTGTTCTTGTGGCAAGTCTGAAATACCTGCTGAATGCTGACCTACCTCAATTCTTGTGGCAAGTCTGAAGTACCTGCTGAGCGCTGGCTTAACTCTGTTCTTGTGGCAAGTCTGAACTGCCTGCTGTGTACTGGCCTAGCTCTGTTCTTGTGGCAAGTCTGAACTGCCTGCTGTGTACTGGCCAAGCTCTGTTCTTGTGGCAAGTCTGAAGCTCTGTTCTTGTGGCAATTATGAAGTGCTTGCTCAGTGCTGGTCTAGCTCTGTTTTGTGGCAAGTCTGAAGTACCTGCTGAGTACTGGCCAAGCTCTGTTATTGTGGCAAGTCTAAAGTGCCTGCTGAGTGCTGGCCTAGCTCTGTTCCTGTGGCAAGTCTGAAGTGCCTGCTGTGTACTGACCTAGCTCTGTTCTTATGGTTAGTCTGAAGTGCCTGCTGAGTGCTTGCCAAGCTCAGTTCTTGTGGCAAATCTGAAACTCTGTTCTTGTGGCAAGTCTGAAGTACCTGCTGAGAACTGGCGGAGCTCTGTTCTTGTGGCAAGTCTGAACTGCCTGCAGAGTACTTGTCTAGCTCTGCTCTTGTGGCAAGTCTGAAGTACCTGCTGAATACTGGCCTAGGTCTGTTCTTGTGGCAAGTCTGAAGTTCTGTTCTTTTGGAAAGTCTGAAGTGCCTGTTGATTGCTGACCAAGCTCTGTTCTTGTGGCAAGTCTGAAGTGCCTGTTGAGTACTGGCCGAGCTCTGTTTTTTTTGGCAAATCTGAAGCTCTTTTCTTGTGGCAAGTCTGAAGTGCCTGTTGAGTACTGGCAGAGCTCTGGTTTTTTTGGCAAATCTGAAGCTCTTTTCTTGTGGCAAGTCTGAAGTGCCTGCTTAGTGCTGACTTACCTCACTTCTTGTGGCAAGTCTTAAGTACCTGCTGAGTACTGGCCGAGCTCTGTAAGTGTGGCAAGTCTGACAAAGTAGGATTTAACCGGAAATGCCATAATACATCATGGAACTTAAGTGATAAAATTTGTACTGAAAATCAAAAGAATCTTCACAATGTAATTAGACCAGAAGAAGGAAGGCTTTATTTTAGAACAGTCAGCATATTTTCCCACATAAAAGTGTCTGCTCCAATGAACCAGATATTTACAATGATTTATTATTATATGATGATGAATATGGCAGGAATTTTTACAACCTTGGAGTGCTATACTATATCTTTACTCTAAAACCACTAGAAGAACTCATTGACCTGTTTACTGACATTGTTATTTTGATCTGATTGATTGGTAATTATTAAATCAGCTGTATTTATACCTTATTAAATTCCTCTGTATATCTAGAATGTTTAAACCCTTCTTTAAATTTGAAATAATGGTACTATTGGAAAAAAAGATCTTACTATTAGGGGGAAAAAGATTTGTTAAAAGGAAAGAGTTTGCTCCATGAAAGAAAGGTTTAACCGTGGTTGTGATCCAAAAAATAGGCTTTTTCATACTGTCAGAGACTAACCTTGTACAAATATAGTTTTGTGCAGTAAATGGGTAACCATTAAGGTTTTCCTTTCAATTTTATAATTTATTATTGAGAAAATTGACAAGTTATTTTGTAAAATCCCTAAAACTCACATTATTGTCAATCATAACAAGATACACAGATTCAGCAGGAAAAGCATTATAAAGGATGTTTTTCGGCAGTTTTCATATAGACATATAGGCAAAATGAAAACTGTTAAGAATGGGGTTCTTTAAACTTGGCATGTTGTTAGAATATGATAACGTAATGGTACCATATTGGTATGATATTGGCCGATGCTAAATTGTTTTGGCCGTAAGGCATTACAGTAAGACTACCTTAATGTAATCATAAGAAAGTGTTTGTTAGAGAAGTAATTATTATACAGAATTGGCATCCTTCAAAAATTATCCAGTGTAACAAACTGTGCCAACTCAAAAATTTCTTACAGTTTGAATTTATCAGCAATTCTGAAGTAACATTGCTTGTTATTAGATTTCCTTGAACTGCATTTTAGATTTATCAAGCACATTTTCCCCAGGATATGTTTGATGAAACTCTCTGATGCTAGGTATCTGAGATGTGAAGCATCTGTGAATATTTTGAGATCTGTTGACTAGATAAAAACACCTGAACTAGCATATAATGTGAGTGTGTGTAACTTTGTACTCTTGTCTTACTTTATGAATGAAAACATGCATCTGTTTAAAGTGTGTATGTGTACACACAAAGGATGAAAGAAACTAGTAAAATCTTTTGAAACTGAAAAAGTGAATGATTATGCTGTAAACTTGGCAAACTGGAGGATTATAGTTAAAATATCATTTTTTTCTGTCGTTCAAGTTGTCAAACTTTTTAATGACTGGAAGTCTTTTCAGATGACCAAACTGCATGTTTTTGTAACAAAACAATAAAATCATTTTATGTTGTTCTTTTTTTTTGTAACTGTCTAGGATAACAGACTATTAGTATTTCCTGATTGCTGTAATAATAAACTGAAGGAGGTGTATCTTAATAAAGATGGGAAGATTTGATTTATGATATTATGAAAGCTAGTTTCTTACATAAGTTTTATGTACACACGCCAACACATTTCTTCATATACAACACATATAATGAATAACCTGTATCAAAAATTCAAAATATGCACCTTTTCTATGAATAGTGATCTATGAAAAAAACCCAGCAGGATGTATCAGAATATAAAACATAAAATATATCTTGATCAGTGTAATTGAAGTAAGTTATGCAGAAATAAGTTATGAAATATGAAGTATTAAAACAGCTTGCCTCTATAAAACATGAAGTATTAAAACAGCTTGCCTCTATATTCATTCTAATTTTCACTCAAGACTTTTGACTTAAACTGGGCAAATAACTGATTTTCTGTTGAACTCTTAAGTATTATTCTTTATTGTATTTTGCTGATAGATTCATTTTATTCAAAGGGATTCCTGTAAAAATAGGTTTTTAAAAATGTCTAAATACATGTAAGTTATAATTTCCTTGGTAAGAACTTATTAAAAAATAAAGGTACATTATAATTAATTAATAAAAAGACCAGAATAAAGTGGAAATGGTATTGTCAATTAAATGAGCCTTGCTTAATCATTCTTACTCAAATTAATCAATTAAAATATCTAGGTATAGCAGTACCAACTTTCACACATTCATTCCTTTATTTTTATGGCCTTTTTATCAATAATAATATAATTTTCTTCTTTATGTTCTATCAGGGGAAACAATTAGTCATTTTGACAGATTTAAAACCTACTTTTTCTTCCGGTCAGTGATTTTACTGCAGTTTTACTCCATTTTTACTCATGGGGAACCTGATTCTGGTCACTGATTTGTATTCATACACCACTTTTGATCTATTATCTACATTGAACTTTGTGAAATGAGCTGTCAAAAATTTAATATCTCCCTCATTGAAAAACTTTATCTTTATCCAAAGTGAAACGTTTCCATTATTTCGGTATTTTGGGTTATTTGATGGTGGCGAATACCCGAGCCTGTGTCAAGTGTGAAATTTGAGTAAGGCCATAAATTTTTATATTGTTTGTTTTTCGGTAAAAATGAGGTCATTTGCCTTATTCTTTATATGTTATATATCTAAATCATACGATGTCTGTAGAGTGTATTGGGTTAACGTACATGTATGATTTAAGGTAAATAATTGACATAGAAAAGTCACTTCATATAAAAAAGATACAACCCAAGCTTTTTTTTATACAAAAGAGAAAAAAAGAAAGAAAACTTTTTCTTTTTAAGGGTGATTTTTATATATAAAAAAAAAGAAAGAAAAAGTTCATATTTTGTAGGGAGAACATCAGTTTCATGTTTTAAAGTCCGTATTTTAAATACGATATGATTAAAAAATGTTAATTTCTTACAGTGAGTACTATCTATGTATGAACAATTTTGTTTTAAAGGATTAAATATTGTGCTCAGCTCTTAAATTACCTGACAGGAAGAGAGATGTTACTAGAAAAAGGAGAGCTGAAATTTGCTTTATGAATATTTTGGTTGGTTTTTTTTTGCTTGCAAGGGATGATAAAAGTCATCATTACCAGTTTACATGATTAAATTTTTTTAGCCTCTAAAAAAATTTTTGATTTTTTAATAAGGGACATGTATATCCCCCTTTTACAGGGGAAATTTTGGATTAAAAACATTTTTATGTCAGAGGCCGACTGTTATGTTCAGAAAAATGAAAAATTTTTTTTTTTAAAAACCCTTGGAAATTTGTTTTTTTATTTTATTTAAAAAATTAAAATAAAAAAAAAAGGATTTAAAATTGTTTTCTCTGTGTTTAAACCCTGAAGTTTAAAAATTTTAGGCCCAAAAAACTTTTAAAAATCCCGGAAAAAAAAAAAATAAACCCGTAAAAAAAATTGGGTAAAAAATCCCAAAAGGGTTTTGGACTAGATGTAACTCCGGGCCTTTTTTCTTAAAACCCCCCCAACATCTTAAAAACCCGACCCTTTAAAAAAATGCTGACAGGAAAAATTTGGGTTTAAAATAAAGTATCATGTGTTTCAATCATGTCTAATTAAGACTAATCAGTGGGGCACCTGTTTTATTTCCATACAGCAAACTTTGTTCAACAAGGTTCAAAATGGAATCATTTTTTCACCTAGTTTGTCTACACTGCAACTTTATAACTTGTTCATTTTTCTGTGTGAAGATTATTACACAGAGTAAATTTACATATATAGATGTTTGATAATAAAGATGGTGTGTGTGATATGATCAGTAAGGTATGGCAGTAAAATTTTCACCCTTGTGAATAGGGCTTGGGTCTGCCAAAATAGGGAAGTTGCTTTAGTTATGAAATTCTGTAAGTAGGGGTAGAAAGTCATGTATAAAAGGTGGGGGGAGGGGGGGGGGGCGCAAGTCATGGCAACAGCCAAAGTCTGCCATATTGTAAATTTTGATAGCATTATTGGGAAAAAATCTGTTGATTAACAGTATGACTTGGTCCATGTACCTGATTGAACAAATGTAAGATAGTTTGGTTTGATACTTAAATAAAGCCACATCATTCTGTTAATTTAGAATACTTAATAATTACTAGGTTCTTATGTCAGTTCAGTGATATCTTTTATTTACATCAAAATATGACAAATTATATGTTGTTGTTGGCAATATTTACATTCTTCCTGCTGTTGATTTTATCACCCTCACAATATATTGAACAAATTCTCTCTTGAAAAAACAAATGTTTATTTGCCTTGAACTACTGACTGTCACTATTATTTTAAAATTACATTTTGACATGATAAAAGTTACACCACACCAAATCATATTTTTCTTACACTCAACAAAGCCATTGACTAGTGTTTTTTTCTTACTTACTTGGGAAGAGACCTTACCCTCTTGATTTTGGTAAGTTCAGAGTTTTGGGGAAAACTGAATGATTCTAAAGAATTTTTTTATTCTGTTACCTTTTGTAGGCCTCTGCTACCTTTGTAGACCTCTGTTACATTTTGTAGGGCTCTGTTACCTTTTTAGACCTTTTTTGTAGGGCTCTGTTACCTTTTGTAGACCTCTGTTACATTTTGTAGGGCTCTGTTAACTTTTGTAGACCTCTGTTACATTTTGTAGGGCTCTGTTAACTTTTGTAGACCTCTGTTACATTTTGTAGGGCTCTGTTACCTTTTGTAGACCTCTGTTACATTTTGTAGGGCTCTGTTATCTTTTGTAGACCTCTGTTAAATTTTGTAGACCTCTGTTACATTTTGTAGACCTCTGTTACCTTTTGAAGACCTCTGTTACATTTTGTAGGGCTCTGTTAACTTTTGTAGACCTCTGTTACATTTTGTAGGGCTCTGTTAACTTTTGTAGACCTCTGTTTACATTTTGTAGGGCTCTGTTAACTTTTGTAGACCTCTGTTACATTTTGTAGGGCTCTGTTACCTTTTTGTAGACTCTGTTACATTTTGTAGGGCTCTGTTACCTTTTTAGGCCTCTTTTTGTAGACCTCTGTTACATTTTGTAGGGCTCTGTTACCTTTTGTAGACCTCTGTTACATTTTGTAGGGCTCTGTTACCTTTTTAGGCCTCTTTTTGTAGACCTCTGTTACATTTTGTAGGGCTCTGTTAACTTTTGTAGACCTCTGTTATATAAGGTTAAAAATCATTGATTGACTGATACATATATTAAATGTGTATTTTCTTGTGTTTTTACAGGACTGGGTAACAGCTACTGATATAAGAATTGTGCTAACACGTATGAACACATTTGGTGACGAGATTTTTGGAGATCCCCGTGTATTGAGATCATATTTCTACGCTGTCGATGACTTGGCAGTAGGAGCAAAGTAAGATTTTAATATAATGTCTTAAAGCTACAAGTCATGCCTGCAGATAAGTATTAACGTTTTTTCAAAATATAAAACTTAGAAATAACATCTTAATGATGGTTCAGTGTAGAACTGAAACTTGTTGATAATAAATCACCTTAAACTGCACTGGTGTTGATGTAATCATGTGTTTCTTCTTTTATTTGAATTAAGGGAGTTTATGAAATCATCAAATGTAAATAAACGTGACCATTCTTTGCATGCTTAACCTTTAGAAAAGATAAGGGTGAAATGGATTTTTTCATAATCAATAATCTTCATTGTTATGTGGAGCATATAGCGTTGCACTTGTCCGTCCCTCCGTATGTCTGTCCGAGCAAACATTTTAGGTTTAGGGCTATATAACAGTAAAGAGAACAAAAGAGAACAATAGGTTCATTCCGTGATCAAAGGGTTCATGGGCTAGTAGCCCTTAAGAAAACAAAAAAAAATAACAAAGAAAATAGCCCCTAAACCCAAAATGTTGGAGCGTCCGTCTGTACGTCCGTCCGTATGTCCCGAAATCTTGTGAACGCAACTCGTCTTAAACCGGATGACAGATTTTGCTTACCTGTTACCTGTAGATCATTTTAGGTATATGTTCAGAAATGAAACAGTGGAATGAAAAAGTTCCACATAAAAATCTTACATACAGATATGCATGCTCTTGTTTACGAGCACATCTGCACAGTGGGGGCATCCGTGTCCTTTGGACACAGTTCTAGTTTTTATCTTTTTTTTGTGTGTGTGTTTTTCAATGGAGAATCATTTGAAATTCAGTTAAGAAAGCCAAAATTTGCAGTAACATTGTAGTGTTTTATTTTTTTTTAAATCTGTTGAATGTAGAACATATCTGCATAAATTATCTGTCAAAAATGATTGAAAATGTAAATAAGTTACTTGATACTTTGAAAGATACATAATTAATGTAATGAATTTATTATGCTATGGTTTAAAGATTTAACTAAATACGAGAATAATTGTTTTAGCCAGGCTATGGGCCTATTTTTCCGTGAAACACTGGTTAAAGTTTTATTTCCTATTCTTGTATGAACAATCATATCTCATCAATCCCTGAAGGTATTGGCTTGTTACTGCACACATTTATTTTAGACCATAGTAGGTCATTTTCCAAAGCCTCTAGCATAGATTTTTACAGAATTATGGTCCTTGTGAACTTAAAGAACTTCAATATTCATGTTTTAGAATTTCTAATTGAAGGTCTCTTTCCAGGCCCTTTGTGAAATTTTCCTTCATTACTTTCCGTGACTCTAGAAATATCATGTATTTGGTATGAAAATTTCCTAATTCCCATCATTACCCTAGGCTTTGCTTAACATCAAGCTTGAGCAATAGACAACTTAACTCTTGTTATTTGCCTATCCTCTTTCTCAAAAGTTATAAATACATGTATAAAATTGAATAAAAGAATCTATATGCTTCATTATATAGTTTGAATCAGAACAACTTCAAGCAAGTATAAGAGGGCAAAGTTTCCAGCATCCGCGCTGTCTGATCAGGATCCATGCTGTTCGCTATCAGTTTCTCTACTTGTTTTAGGGTTTGTAAGCGAACAGGTTGGTCTGGATCCATGCTGGTCACAAACGCATTATGTTGGTTTTGTCGTGACACGTCTCATATGATTTTATCATTTTTCAGATGTAAATGTAACGGTCACGCAAGCAGTTGTGAGATAGCACCTAACCGAGAGCTGATTTGTGAGTGCGAGCACAACACCACCGGTCCTGATTGTAACATTTGTAAACCATTCTTCAATGATCGCCCCTGGGCCCGAGCCACAGAGGAAGAACCTGGGGAATGTAGACGTTAGTATTTTAAATTTAAATTAAATTATTTTTTTTAAAGATAAAGAAAAATGAAATTTGAATATGGCTTAAAAAATTGAATGTTTTAAGTAATTTTTCTCGAAACATAATTGAAAAGATAATATTTTGTTGATAAATATTTTAAAAGAAATTTTCTTGCCAGAATATTGTGAGCTGTTACTGTTTTATCTCCTATGCTATTATACTATTTTTGTGGCTTTAGGCCAAGATTACATACATGTATATTACATAGCTTGTTTTTTTGACATTCTGATGTAACTTGATTTATTGTTGATATATTATATAAATGTGACAATATTGCTGGTATTTGCTTTCCTTGTATCATACATTACATGCAATATTTCCAAAGGTATGCAAACTGCTTTAAATTTAGGTCAGTGTAATTAATAAAGCTAGCATTAATTGTGTCAATTAACATGCACATGATTGTATTACCTTGGCATTAGATATGCATACTGTAATTAATTAGCTGCCAAGTGAATTGAATTTATCAAACATTTGAAATAGTCCATTTCCCATGTTAAAGAATATTATGATAGAAAATAAAAACTTTGTCAAGTATTTTGATTTACACCTACATGTATTTTCACATATTTCATGGTTAAGTTTTTGTATTTTAACATGTTTAAGTTTTCTAAGGTAAAGTATTTTGATTATTATTTATTTGAGCCCCATCATGACAAAACCAACTTAATGTGTTTGCGACCAGCATGCATCTTGACCAGCCTGCGCATCCGCGCAGTCTGATCAGGATCCATGCTGTTCGCTAGCAGTTTCTTTACTTGTTATAGGGTTGGTAAGCGAACAGCATGGATCCTGATCATACTGTGCGGATGCGCAGGCTGGTCTGGATCCATGCTGGTTGCAAACCCATTATGTTGATTTTGTCATGACATGGCTCATTTATCTATTTTCACATATATTCAGCGTGTGACTGTAATGGTATGAGTGAGGAATGTTACTTTGACGAGGATCTGTACCGTGAGACGGGACACGGGGGTCACTGTACCAACTGTCGTGATAATCGTGGAGGTATACATTGTGAGGAGTGTCTACCGAACCACTACATAGAGCAAAGGACCAACAGATGTACCGCCTGTAACTGTGATCCCACAGGTAGGTTTGATATTTGCTAGAAAATTTTTATTTATCATATTCTGATGATCTCCTCCTTTGAAATAAAACTTTTCTTAAACTTTCTGGTCATTGATGGAGTTTATGTTCAACAGCATTATATTCAGGAAATAGATTATTAAATTCTTGATATATCATAATATGGCAGTAACCTTTTGCTGCCATGGTTTAAAAGTTATGAGCCAGACATTTTTAAAAACAGAAAACTTAGACAAAGGGAAATAGTGAAAAAAATTCCATTTACTAAGTGCACAGAGAACACTGTTTTTATGCCACCGCAGCATCTGCGATGCGGTGGCATATAGCGATTCACCTGTGTGTGTGTTTGTTTGTGTGTGTGTGTGTTATATAGATTATATAGTGAACTTAAAAAATCTTCTTGTAAAAAACCACTTGTCCAATTTCAACCAAACTTGGCAGGATTGATCCTTGGGTGAAGGGCTTCCAAAGTTGTTCAAAGAATTTCATTCCATGCAGAAATCTGGTTGCCATGGCAACCAAAGGAATTATAAGAATAAATTAAAAAAATCTTCTTTGTAAAGACCCAAAAAGGCCTAGAGCTTAGATATTTTGCATAAGGCATTGTCTGGTAGACCTCTACCAAGATTGTTCAAATTATAACCCTGTGGTCAAAATCAGCCCCGCCCCGGGGGTCATTGATTTTTACTACTTATGTACATATAGTAAAACTTTAAAATAACTTTTGTTAAAGACCCAAAAGGCCTAAAGCTTAAGATACTTTTGCATAAGGCATTGTCTGATAGACCTTACCAAGATTGTTCAAATTATAGCCCTGGGGTCAAATCGGCCCCGCCCCGGGGGTCATTGTTTTTCACTATATGTACATATAGTAAAACTTTTTATCTTCTTGTAAAGACCCAAAAGGGCCTAGAGCTTAGATATTTTGCCATTAAGGCATTGTCTGGTAGACCTCTATTCAGATTGTTCAAATTATAGCCCTGGGGTCAAAATCGGCCCCTGCCCGGGGGTCATTGGTTTTCCTTCATATGTATTACGGTAAAAAACTTAAAATAGTAAAAAAATTTCTTCTAGGCAATTGTAAAAATCTGCGTTAAGGTTAGATTTTTGCATGAAACATTGTGAAGTGAACTTCAATAAGATTGTTTCAAATTATAGCTGGGATCAAAATTGCCCCTGCCCTGGGGTTCATTTTGATTTTCAATATTATACATAACATGTATATGTAGTGAAATCAAAAAATCTTATGTCTGAAGGTAACAAGGCTTAGGGAGCTTGATATTTGTTAAATGATATTCTATAGGTACTCTACCAGAGCTGTTCAATTTTTGCCTTCTGTGTCAAAAATTAGCCCCTGCCTGTGGCGCTCATTAGGTTTTCTCTTATATGTATAAGTAAAAACTTTTAAAAAATCATCTTCTCTAATTTCAAAGGCTAGAGTTAAGATATTTTGCATGAAACATTATTTAGTGAACCTCTTAGCAAGATTGTAACACCATTATAGCCCGGGCAAAATTGGCCCCACCTCCAGGAGTCATTGATTTTCACTATGTACATATAATTAAAAAAAAAAAAAAATATTTTTGTCTGAAGGTTACAAGGCATAGAGCGTTTTGATGTTTGCTATATATATCATCTATGGGTTCTCTATAAAGTTGTTTTTTAATTTTATGCCCTAGTGTTAAATTTGGCCCTGCCCGGGGCAGTGATTCCTTCATTATGTTCACATAGTAAAACAGAAAATAAAAACAAATCTTTCTGAATGGGAGAAAGCACAGCTTAGATATTTGACTTGAAATGTTGTTTGGTGGACCTGTATCAAGGTTTGTTTTGAATTAAACCCTTGGGTCCAAAATTTTGCTTTGACCAAGGGGACATGACCTACTTTCTTGTCTTTGATGTACCGCAACTTGAAAATTTTGGACCATATTTAGAACACAATAACGTCATGTGCACAGTTTTAGTTTGTAAAATTGAAACTTTGATTATCAGGTGACCTAGATTTTGATGATGTGACCTTACTTTCTTGTCCTTTATGTACAGCTATAAAATTTGAACCTATGTGTTACAATTAAGATGTTAAGTGAAACTTTTTGATTTCAGCTGA